CCCTGTAGCTTTTTCACCAACTAGCTCCAGAGTATCTGTCTAGTGCAAGAACTCCCACCTTGTTACACTGGACACTATCGGGTCCTTTTCAAAGGACACTTTTCCAGCTGGCACATGAAACTCCATGAACTGAATTCTGCACATTTTAAAAGAGATTCTGGCAGCTTGAAAGCTAGTAACAGTTTTAAGAAATAAATAAGCTAGAACCGTTTCAGGTACCATGATCATTCTTGATTCCCCGAGGTGGTTGGTTCCCCTATTTCTGTGGTTTCACTGTATTTTTAATAATGTTTCTTTCTGCTGTTTCTGTGAGAAAAGCCCACAAAAACAGTGGAAGGAAGAGGCAAAAGGTGAGAGGCAAAATGACTGTACATACACACAAAACCAACCACAGGTCTATTCATGTTATCTGATGTCTTTCAGTTAGAGAACTCTTAGGCCACGTCCAGATGAGCCTGGACATTTGGTTCCCTGGTGACAAGTAGCAGCAGCACACCTTGTGCCAGTGCTACCTGTTCCCAGGGAAAACCTGTGTCACATGTGCTCTGGCACATGGCAGGTTATCCCAGGTGGGTAGGGGAAGCTGGGGACAGCAACTATTCTGGTCCCAGCAGCCTTAACTGGGGTCCTGGGAGCCAGGGAAGCTGCAGCTGCGGCGGTCCTGCAGCTGGGAACCTGGCCAGCAGCCGGAGTGTGGCTCCAGCTGTCCAGGCTCTGGTTTTGGTCGGTGGCTCTGCTGCCACATGGCACCATACTGCTTTGTTTCCCCACCTTTTTTTTTTTTTAACCCCAGGACATCCCAGTTTTTAAAAAAATCTCCCAGCACTGCAAAGTAACAGCATAGGGAATGCCTGAATGTGCAGTATGTGGCATCACAGACCGGTCTGCGGTGCCACATACCACATCATCACACTTGTCTGGACGCGGCCTTAGGCATTATACAAAACAATAGGCATAACATTTCCAAATGGCACATGGCTACAGATGAATGAAGAACCTTGAGCCATGAGATTCAATAAGCAAAAAGAGGCGTAAAGCTTTTTAAAACATCAGTATTTTCAGATTTGAGGTTTTGCTTTGGCCCAATCAGAGGTCAGGTACCAAATTCAGATTGAAATACAGGTGGCTGTCTTAACAGACTGAAAATTTTGATTTGGGCACTTTGATAGTTAAAATATGAGCTTTCTTTCTCCTTACTTCCTTCAACCCTGCATTTATGCAAGGGATTGGACTAGATGACCAAAGGGTTCCTTCAATCCAATGATTCTATAGTAACTTGAAGTCAACCATTCCTTGGACTGAACCTCTAGAAGGATTGGGAATATTGGTATTAAGATCTATCCTAATATCTTACTCCTCCAGACAGACAGAGGCACAGGAGTTCATGGATATCATGCCCCCTCTACACAAAAATCACCACCACAAACAAAAAGGAAAAGAGAGCCTGCATTCTAATATCCAAGGGATGATCATTTCCTTGATAGAAGTGTTAAAGCTTCCACCTCAAAGAGGGCTAAGTGGGAGAGTCTACTCCAGATGTGGATTCAGCCAGTGTACTTCTGATCTATATTTTTCAACAGCTTGTTTTCCCACACTGTACAATGAGGCTTATTCATCCCTCTAATGGCTAAGCCTGTGTTGGGTGTAAAGGGATTTTGCCTCTGAAGTATAGAATGGTATCTCCTCGTTTTACACAGATCTTTGCATAACACAGCCATTAAGGTTTCGTCCCACACACAACACATTTACAGCCAGGGGTGTAAATGAAACAAAGGTTGTGTATATATATTCCAATGATCAAGAGCAGAGGTTCCCAAACTTTTTCTTATTGAATACCCCAGATTTACCAGTTGTCCCCATACTTCTACCAGCATGTGTTTTATATTTTAACCCATTCAATGCCAATTATTATAACAATAATGAAAATTAAATCTGTCATTACACAATTTCTCCCATTTACCCTTCAGAGATGTCCTCCGTACCCCCAGGCATATATGTACCACAGTTTGGGAACTCCTGATCTAGGGGAATCCTCCCAGGTTTGTTCTCCTGGTAGAAAAACTTACCCAGACATCCCTGAACAGACATTTGAATGTTGAGCCCCAGAAGAGAAAAGAGCATACTTCTCAACATCCTTTGCAGGCTCCCCAGACTGCCTGAAGACAGATAGCAGCAGTGCATAGGGCAGCCCTGAGGAGTCTGAGTGTCTCCCTACAGCACAACGTGGGGATTGTAAAGAGGATGTGTTCTGCTCCTTACTCAGGTGGAGCAGTAGAGTCCAGCCTAAGCAACACCCTGTTTCCCTAGAGAATGGGGTAACAGCCTGGGATGCTGGAAGACTGTGCAGTGGCTTCTCTCAGAAGGGAACATGTACAGACATTTGCTCTGCCAAAGCAAATTCTCCCATGAATAATTTAATCCTAGTTCTTCCCAGGTTATTTTTTCCTGGAGTGCCTATTTTTGCTCTGGAAGAAAAATCTGAGTAAAGCAGAAGAATCGCTTCCTTGGTTTTGCTTGAGATGCATTAGTTGATGCATGCCATAGTATTGTTTGCCCTGCTGGCTACAGCATCACACTGACATCTCATATTTATACTATGATCTACTATTACCCCTAGTTCCCTTTCTGTCGTGGTGGTAGTTACTTTGGCACCACTGAGCCTATAAGTAGGTTGGGGATTGCTTGTCCCCAGATAGAGCACTGGTTCTGATCAGTCTCCAACTTGCCAGCCTGTCTAGGTCCACCTGTATCTGCAGCCTATCTTCAAGCATGCCCACACTCCCCCATAACTTGATGTCATCCACGAACTTGGTGAGTGAGCTCTTCATTCCCACATCCAAATCATTGATAAAGGTGTTGAAAAGCACTGGACCAAGAACATACCCCTGAGGGACACCACTGGCCACTTCTCGCCACAATGACACAGATCCGTTCATTAGAACTCTCTGGGTCCTACTCCGCAGCCAGCTTCCCACCGATCTAACTCCCGAGCAGTTAAGCCTGCAATCCTCCAATTTTCCCATGAGAACATTATGGAATACCAGATCAAAGGCCTTTTGGAAGTCTAGGTATACAATGTCAACCTCCTCTCTCTTATACAGGTGGTGAGTTACCAGGCCAGAGAAGATGAGATTCGTAAGACAAGACCTACCCATGACAAATCCATGCTGGCTGTCATTCAGAATTCTACCTCCTGCAAGCCTATTGCACATAGACTCCTTGATGAATTTTTCCAGGATTTTCCCTGGGATAGAAGTTAGGCTAACTGGCCTATAGTTGCCCAGGTCCTCTCTCCTCCCCTTCTTGAAGATGGGCACAACATTGGCCCTCTTCCAGTCTTCAGGGACCTCGCCCGCGAATGAGTTTTGGAAGTTTTGCCAAAGGTCCTGCGATGGCTTCGGCCAGCTCCTTCAGCACTCTTGGATGAAGTTCATCTGGTCCTGCTGACTTACAAATGTCTAACTTTTCTAACTGATCACATACCAACTCAACGTCAATTGTAGGAAGGCAGTCATTCCCACTGTGAAAGGGGCAGTAAAAGCCCCCCTAGTGAGTCCCAGACCCCCACCCCACGTGCCCCAATACTCACCACAGAAGCCCAAATGAGCAGTGGCTGGGAGGAAACGCGGATGCAGGCTCCACAATTCCAGAGCTCCCTGAAGCTGTGGATCAGTGAGGGATGGGGGAAAAGCCTCAGCGAGATGCAGGCTGCTCAGATAGCAACTGGGAGAGCAGCTGAGTGGCCGGCAGGGGAAGAGCAAGATGTCGGCCAGGAGATTCATTTGAAGTCCTAGTCAGCCCTAAGGCAGGGCGGGTTTATGTATCCAAGTTGGCCTGAAGCTGAGAAACCAGCTGTGGGGGAAGATTGTACTGGCCAAGAATGCCTGACTCATCCCAGGGCGGGCAATCTGGGTGAAAGGAGATATCATCCAGAGGAAGACCTGCAGAGTGCCGCATTTGTCCAGGCCGTGGACGTGGTAAGGGTGGGGTAAAGGGGAGGTTTGGAGCCCCATGACGAAAAGACCGGGGTTGAGACCTCTTCACTTTTGGGGGCCACCTGAAGCGAACTGCCTCCCCAACAAGAAACATCAAAGATGTGGCAGGTGAGTAGGAGCAGCACCCATAACATCTATGTGGCACCTAAGCCCGTCTCACCCCAACGTTGCTTGGGAGCAAGGCACCTATCAAGAAGAGGCCAAAGCCCTACTACACCTACAAGCAACACCCACCATGACCATTCTGTACCCTATCAGTTATGATTTTCCCTTTAGTCCTGTGACATACCGAAGCAAAGCAGTCATTCAGGAGTTCAGTTTTCTCCAGAGTGTTGGTAACTAGCTGTCCTGAGTTGTTAAGCAATGGCCCCAAACTTCCATTTGTTTTCTTTCTATTCCATACATAGCTAAAGAAGGACTGCTTATTGTCCTTGATTTCTGTTGCCAGTTTAAATTCAGTCATTATCTTAGCCTTTCTAATCTGCTCCCTACAAATGCGGACCATCGTTGTTTAGTCCTCCTTGGGGACTGTCCCAAGCTTCCATGTTTGTATGCCTCTTTCTTCTTTTACAAGAGGACCATGATATCCCTCTGAAGCCAAGGGGGCTTCCCAGCCCTTCTGCTACCTTTCCTTCACATGGGAACGGACTTCTTTTATGCTTCGAGGATCGTGTCCTTGAGGAACAATCACTCTTCATGCACTTCTTTCACCTAAACGCTCACAGTTAAGTGTCTCTCACCTTGGCCCCCCAAAGCTTGATCCAGAGGGTTTTGAGCCACTCATCTTTGGAGTCGATGTCAGCGTTCAAGGAGGTGCACTGCTCCCTCACATAGAGAGCTACACCTCTACCTTTCTTCCCTACTCGGTCCCTTCTGTGCAGGGTGTAGCCCTCTGTGGCTATGTTCCAATCATGTGAGGAGTCCCACCAGGTCTCCGTAATCCATACTAGATTGTAATGCCCACCATGGCTGGGGAATCCCCACAGTGCCTGAACACTCACTTACCTGTAGTGTTGAAGCCGGAGACCCGCCCTGGGCCAGGTAGCCCTGGTGAGCTGGAGGATGCTGCAGACGTCCAGACACCTGGGAAAGGAAATCCAGGTATCAGCATAGGAGTGACCACAATAGATCAAAGGGTACAGACCTGACCATAACCCCACCCACATGGGATTTCATCAGCAGGTACACCTAGGGCAGCCAGGACAGCAAGACAGCAACCCAAAGGGCATCAGCAGGACCCAGTGACGGTAAGAAACCACCTGAGAATCCTTTGGATCTTTCTGCAGCATTTGAGTGGTTATGGATCCAAAATCCCCCAGTGGTGAAGTATCAGGACCATAAGGGTCATGTGGGCATTAGGAAACACCCCACGGGATACTGCAATATGTGGCCAGGTGCCAGCTGACCCAGAACATTGGTTCTCCCAGGATATACCCAAAATGGGGGACCAGACAAGGGCCATACAAATCGCACCACATACAGCTTGGAGCACAAAAGAGAAGCAGCAAACGCAGGGAGTATCATTCCCCTGCTCACTTGCATCACTCAAGCAATATCAGTTCTGGTATTGTTAAGTTCCCAGTTTATCAGTTGGAGAGGCCATAACCACATTCCTGCCAAGAACCATGAGGGCAGGCTTTCTGTGGGAACAGACGATGTCTGCAGCACACCCAGGTACCAGCGAAACCAAACCAGACCACCCAACCAGGAAGGGATGGGATGTAGAGGAGTATGAGCCTCACAGAAGAAGTACCAGACGAAGCACCCAAGGTCATAGAGAAACACTGGACACACTTTCAGGTAGAACCTCACATAACATCAAGTCATGGAGGGTGAGTCGACCATGGCGCAGCATGCCCAAGTGGGCAGGGTATGCTAGGAGTGGTGTTGCAAACACGGGCCTGCCACAACCACCTATGACCTGCATATTTTTCCTTTATAAGACTATAGGTCTTTGATTCTGGCTATATTCAAATTATGTTTGAATATACCAAGCTTACCAAGACAAAAATGTCTGCTCTATATATGACCCACACATTATAATTTACAAACCGAATTTTGCCTATCACATCGAATATGCTTCTCCAGACCACTGCTAAAAATATCAAATAACTTAGGGCTGAGAACCAAGCCCCACAGCACATTAGTAAAAATACCCTCACCCTTGCCAATTAACAACTACATTTCAAGATATCGTTTTGCTAGTTTTATTAATTAGTGGGTCCTGTATTGATTCTTAATCTTTCGATAAGATTCTGTTTGGCACTCAGTTAAAAGCCAATTTGGAGGCTTTATTTCAAAATACAATTCAAAAACCAGGAATAACCAACAAAAAAAACTAGCTAAGAAACAACTTCCTATAAACTGCAAATTACCTACCAGGCTTAAACCAGTTTGTTTTCTCACTGTTCCTCTCGCACTGTTTGAGTGAATACCATAAATACTTTACTATGTGTAATTCCCAGAAACTGTATATATTATATGACAAAGTCAGTAGCCAAAACTGGTTGGACAGCCTTACAGAGGAACCAGGATGAAGCTAACCACCCAATTCTCACACATCCTCTATCAGCTTGATTACTTTGTTGCATAGGAAAATTAAGCATAAAAACATTCCAACATGAGGGGTGGATGAAGGCTTTGCAGACTTGTTAAGAAATATGAGGCAAACTCGCCTGTTTTTTCTTGCAAGATTTCTACTACAGCCTTGAGGTGGGTTTGATATGAAGAGAGCACCTTAGGAACAATGAAACATTGACTTTGGTATGCAGCTAGTAAGGATTTTCTGGATTCTTTTACTAGTCTGCCTTGCAAATGGTTCATGTTTCTAGCTTTGCTATGAACTGAATAATCACAAAGAAGCCATATGAGGCTTTTTGTTGAGGAACTTGACTTTTACTAAAATATGGCTCATTGAAGAAGTGAGAGAGGTCAGAAAACCAGTCTGCTTTTTGGCACACTATCCCCAAAATTAGATACAAATGCAAGCTAGGACATTTGTCTGTTCTTGAGCCCTTATTGCTAACTGGAATGCCTAGATATGTTGTAATTAACCCACATATAATTAATTCCTTTGTTGTTGATATATTTTGCTATGTATGACATGTTTAGTTAGTTATCTTCAGGGAAGGAGAATGGGGTCTGTTGACCTCAACCCAAAACTGTTTAATTTTATTTTCCTTTAAGAGAAACAGAGGCATCATTTGCTCCTCCCTTTTTTGCAGCACCAGTACTTGGAAAGATATTTTTGTTGGTATGCTCCTGTACATATTAGCTCTTTCACACTCTAAGACAGTGATTCTCAACCAGGGTGCTGTAGCATCCACAGGTTCCTTAAGATCCCTTCAAAGGTGACATGGAGTGCCACACAATTTTATCACTTTTAGGCGTGCAAAAATGATTCACAAGATAAACCCAGATATTTCAAACAGGAATCCATAGTGTTAAATATATTCTGCCTTCTTATATTCCTGAGTACTCCGCAACCGAAGAATTGCTCTATTACAGCAGTTCCCAATCTGCGATACAGGTACCACCAGTGGTACGCAGACAATCTGTCAGTAGTATGAATTAACAGATGTATTATAATTATAATACATCTATAATATTATAATTATAATAAGTATATAATTATAATATAATAATAATATAATTATAATACATATATAATATTATAATTATAATAAGTATTATAATTACTTTATATGGCAAAAATTTGCTGGTGGTACTTAAGGCTGTATCATTTTAAATTGGTGGTGCACAATCGGTCAGTTTGGGAACCACTACTCTATTAGTTATCCATAAACTAGGTTGGGAAATAGAGTTGGGATACTAATAAAAAAATAAAACTAAAAATAGAGTAAAAAGTAGTAGTAGTTTCCCTCCTAAAAAATAAATAAATTAGCCAACCTAGCTTTAAACTAGATTTGCTGGGGAGATGGAGACCAAAGCCCTGAGGTAGGTGGGGAAGTGGGTGACCTGGAGGAACCAGAAGCAAAAAGGGGAAACGTGAGAGGCTCTCTCATTCTTCCTGAGAAACTAAGACAATCAGGTAGTTACCTCAAATGTATGTACACAAATGCACAGAGCCTGAAAAACAAGCAGGAAGAATCAGAAGTCCTCACACATACATGGAAATATGATGTGATTGGAATAATAGAGACTTAGTGGGATAGCTTGCATGATTGGATGAGTACAGATCATGGATCAGTATAAACTGTTCAGGAAGGACAGGCAGGGAAGAAGAAGAGAAGTTGTTTGTATGTAAAAGGGCTGTATGGTTGCTTAGAGGTATAATATGTAACTGGAGATATGCCTGCTAAAAGTTTCTGGGTTCAGGTCAAAGGGGAGAGCAACAAGGTTGATATCGTGATGGATGCCTCCTATAAACCACCAGCCCAGGAAGATGAAGTGGATGAGGATTTCTTCAAACAGTTAGCAGAAGTTTCCAGATCACAGGCTCAGGTTCTTGTGTGGGACTTCAATCACCCTGGCATCTGCTAGGAGGGCAATAGCTATACACAAGCAATCCAGGAAGTGTTTGAAGAGCACTGGGGACAATTTCCTGGCACAAGTGTTGGAGCAGCCAACTAGGGGCTGTGGTCTTCATGATCTGCTGCTCACAAACAGGGATGAATTGGTGGGGAATGTTGTAGTGGATGGCAACTTGGGCAGCAGTGACCAGGAGATGACTGAGTTCAGGATCCTGAGGAAAGGAAGGAAGGAGAGCAGTAGAGTAAGGACCCTAAACTTCAGAAAAACAGACTTCAATTCAAGGAACTGATGGACAGGGTCCTCTGTGAGGCCAGTCTGAGGGGAAAAGAAGTCCAGAAGAGCTGGCTGTATTTTAAAGAAACCTTGCTAAGGGTACAGGAACAAGCCATCCTCATGTGTAGCAAGTTGAGCAAGTATGGCAGAAGACCAGCTTGGCTTAGCAGGGAACTCTTCAATGAACTAAAACACAAAAAGGAAGCTTAGAAGAAGTGGAAACTTGACCAAGAAGGAGAAGTATATGAGTGTCGCTAGGGCACGCAGGGATGAAATCAGGAAGGCCAAAGCACAAGTGGAGTTGCAGCTAGCAAGGGATGTGAAGGGTAACAAGAAGGGTTTCTACAAACATGTCAGCAACAAGAGGAAGATCAGGGAAAGTGAGAGTCCCTAAGTGAAAGGCAACCTAGTGACGATGATGAGAAAAAGCCTGAAAATGCCTTTTTTACCTCGGACTTCACAGACAAAGTCAGCTCCCAGACTAATGCACCTAACAGCACAACTTGGGGAGGAGGTGAGCAGCCAATAGTAGTGAAAGAACTACAGGTTAGGGACTATTTAGAAAAGCTGGGTGTGTACAAGTCCATGGGGCCCAGTGGTCAGTCCTGGGGCCACTTTTGTTCAATTTCTTCATCAATGATCTGAAAGATGGGATGGAGTGCACCTGTAGCAAGTTGGAAGATAACACCAAGCTAGGCAGAGTATTAGATAAGTTGCAGGGTAGGACTAGGATTCAGAGACCTAGACAAATTGCAGGATTGGGCCAAAAGAAATCTCATGAAGTTCAGTAAGGACAAATCCAAAGTCCTGCACTTAGGACAGAACAATCCCATGAACTGGTATAGACTGGGGACCAATTTGCTAAGCAGCAGCTGTGCAGAAAACCTGGGGGTTACAGTGAACAGTAAGCTGAATATGAGCCAAACAGTGTGCCTTTTTTGGAAGGTACGTTAACAGCATACTGGGCTGCATGAGTAGGAGCGCTGCCAGGAGATCGAGAAAAGTAATTATTTGCCTCTGTTTGGCACTCGTGAGGCCACATCTGGAGTACTGTGTCTAGTTTTGGGCCCCCCACCACAGAAAGGAGGTAGACAAATTGGAGAGAGTCCAACAGAGGCAACAAAAATGGTCAGAGTGGGGAACATGAGTTGTGAAGAGAGGCTGAGAGAACTGGGCTTATTTAGTCTGGAGAAGAGAAGACTGAGGAGGGGATTTAATAGCAGCCTTCAAGTACCTGAAGGGTGATTACAAAAAAGATGGAGCCGGTTGGTTCTCAGTGGTGGCTGATAACTAAACAAGGAACAATGGTCTCAAGG